CCTTCTGGGATACCAAGTGGAAGTTTGTATTCTCGGATTGAAATGCTGACAGAGATCTGGACAGATGGGTAGATTGCGCAGGATATCCAGAGAAAATATAATTCTTAGCCTCAACGTCCTATGGATGACTGACAGATGCTGTACAGTCTTTAACCACACCCCTTTCTTTGACTGATGGGATGTGTTTCTTATCCATCTCAGTGCGTAGAGACCTTTAATTTTTGCCTCCCACGGATTTGAGTGGCAGTAATAAGCCCTCGGCTTTCGTTTCCTGACTGCCCGAGAGAGAGAGAGAACAGTGGGAAAAGCAGACACAGGAAACGCATCACTGAACCCTGACAAACAGCTCCACGATCCGTCTTTCCCATCACCCCAATGATTACACTATGAACTTGACCTGCCCTTTGGGATGGTTTTGATAGGTTGAAACACTTTTGTTTTAGCTGTCAGCATCTTCTAGAGGGTTTTTCACAGAGTTTCCATTTTCCCACAGTCACTTTTATAGTAGTTAACACAGAGGTACCGCCGACTGCAGCTCTGTTTGAAACACAATGGGCTCGAGCTCTTCACGCCACGAGACTCTATGCAAAGAGCTTTCAGACCAGCTTAACCAGACAAACAACACTTTTTCCAAGCCGTGTAGGGCTACCTGGCTCAGTGGTTCATGTGGGTTGTCTACAAACCGGAAGGTTGGTGGTTCAATCCTCGGTTCCACCTGACCAAGTGTCGAGGTGTCCATGAGCAAGACACCTAACCCCAGCTGCTCCCGACGAGCTGGATGGCGCCTTGCATGGCTGCCGTCGCCCGTCGGTGTATGAATGAGTGTGTGAATGGGTGAATGTGAGGCAAATGTAAAGCGCTTTGGTGGCCATTGGGTCTGTGAAAGCGCTATATAAATGCAGTCCATTTACCATTTACCATTTACCTCAGGCCTTTGTGAGGTTTTGTGAATGCCCATTAATGTATTATTTACAGTCTTCCCTCACTTTTGATCTCTCGCTCCCTCTTTCTCTTCCTCACTGCCTTGTTTTTTAATCTCTTACGTGCTGATATGCGCTGGTATCATCTTTTACCCTTCATTAAATATTTTGTATTTACCAAGGGCTCTCGTAGCACTGATCACATTAGCTACGCAGGGGAAAAAAAGAGCTTACATAAGAAAGCCAAGTGAGAGAGTAGATACACAGAAAGAGAGAGAGAGATATAGCCAGGGGTCAGAAAAATAAAAAGAAAGACCAACGGCTTTTACAAGCACATCTGTAGTTTGTTTGGGTGTTGGGTTGGTTGGATAAAGCAGAATGTGAACGGCAAAAGGGAAAATACATATATAGTAATACATATATTTAATGAGTCTAACATAAAATATTTAAAAAGTGTCATCTATGAAATGTATTTAAGTTTGATCAACTCAATTTAGCTAGATTTAGGAAAGAGGAGCGCCTTCTGCGCATGTAAGTATGTGAATTAATATTACTCAGTACATAAATATATAATTACACTGACACCTTAACATAAAGTGTAACTGCTTCTTATTTTTTAGGACCAATAAAGTCGGCATGAAAAGAATCTTCACCCTAACGGTTTTGTAAATGTATGTTGAAGATCTTATTGTGATTGATTCATCCATAATGGAACAACATATCTGTCGCTATTTCTGTTTAATTGCGAGTTTTGTTGCATTGTCATGTTATTTGTGATGACAAGTATATTTTTCACCTGAGTTTCATTATCATAATGCACTTTTCACATGTTTTACATAACATTAGATTGACCCATATGCATGGAATATCAGTCACTTAGAATTTAGAATAGAATTTCGCAAATAATTTCAAAGAAAATGCAAGTAACATGATTTCCATTAGGGCTGGGTATCGATTCAGATGTTCAAATTCGATTCGATTTCGATTCACAAGCTCACAGTTCGATTCGATTCTCGATTCGAATTTCGATTCCTGATTCGATTCTCGATTCGACTATAATGAATATAGATGTAATACAAATCTCAGTCTAAATCTCAGTTATCATTTTTTAGACAATTTTTTATTACATTGATCTCACCTAAATGTTTGTTTTTACAATGGGGTAATTTTTTTGTTAAGAGTTTATGCAACACATGGAAGCTTGATTTCAATCTTTGAATTAAATTGAAAAAAGTAGCACACATAAATACAATAGAATAGGCCTAAAAAGACAAATAAAGAGACATAAAAAGAAAAGTTTTTGGGTAGGTCAGAAATACTACAGAAACTGAATAAAGTAATCCAATGTAAAATAACACTGGATAGTCTTTTAGTACTGACTGAATTAAATACATAGGCTATTAATTCTGATTCCTTACAATTAATGCTATATTATGTTGTTTTGACAACAAAATTAATGACAGACACATATGGCTGCGTTCACTCTAAGAACTAGTGCACGGATCCATTACTGTTTCATTATACTGTCTGTCACACGCGTTTTATGCTTATTTAAGACATAACCGACCGACTGTCTTTACGAGGTTACTCACCAAGACCAGAGTTTTGACATCATTTTGCGTGTTTTTAACTGTTAAAGCGATATAATCCACGAAAAAGAACTTTTGTTACTGGCGAGCTGTTTGTTGTGAGGCGGATTTAGGCTGCACGCAATGAAAAACATGCACGAGTGCGCGAGCACAGGATAGTTTAAAATTGCTTGAAAAAAGACGTGAAAATGATAAACGTTAGTTACGATGCAATGCTGGCCCGATTGTGCAAGTGAATCATGTCCCGACTCCTAAACACGAGTGTGTATCGACGCCAGCAGCGCTTGACGCTTGCCTTGTGCAGAGTGAGAAGACGCAGCACGCGAGCCCTGAATATGGAAAAAATCGATTCGTGGCCGCTGAGAATCGATTTTGAATCGACCACATTGAAAAAAACGATTAATCGAAAAATCGATTTTTTTGCCCAGCCCTAATTTCCATTACACGAGAGTAGATGTTAAAACTTCATGCTGATTTGTACTCGGCTTTCGCCAAGATAAGCAACACTAAGACGTAGCTTTACAGTAAACTATGCTTCACCCATTTACGCTTCTTTCCATATGGTGGTGTGACTCCCCTTCTGTCCGGCGTTAACGACTGCAGTGTACTTGGCGCGTCAGCACACGCGACGGCTGCAACTACAGTGTGATCTCCCTAGTGGACCAGCACGACAACCGTCTGGATTGAGCCGAGTAGGGGACTTCTCTAGGGTCTTCAAGTGGGCACCTTCCGTCCTCAGTGTTTTGTCGACTAGCCCACGACACCTCAAGAGGGCTCGACAGTGACTCTGGCGTCCCAGAGTCACCCCCCTCCGTCCCCCACTCAACTCAGCCCAGCTTACTGACCTCTACATCCCTCCTGCTGCTGAGACCTAACCACAATCTCACAATCTCTCCGCAACCCGACCATACGCGCCAACCCGTTTGACTAGGCTGTCAAGCCCCACTGGTGCGTTAATATGCAGTTTCAGTGGACAACGGTTCCGTATGGCATACCACCTACCGCAAAACACAATATCTACCCAACCACCCGTCATTCACGCAATATACACAGGAACGTAATGACTGTAAATACTATACAACCTATACAAATAAACCAACAGACTCTTCAAGTTTTCAAGAATTCTACGAAACCATAGCGTGGCGGCCTGTACACAGCCAGCCAGAATCTTTCCGTCTCAACCACAGCCAGTTGCTCCTCCTCTCTGCTGCTTCAGATAAGTTCTTTACTGTGCGACGCAACTCTTGGCCGCTGAATCCGACGTCTCTGAGGAACCGGGTTGTAGAGTGTGCCACAAAAACCTCGACAACCCACTTCCACTTCCACACAATGAATTAAATGGGATATTTTGAAGTAGAAAAGACTGAAATAGTTCAGTCTTCTATTTTCAGTGTGATTATTTGATATTTTTCTCTTTTTTTTTAACTTAAAATCCAGTTATTCACTGAAAAATAACCAATGTTATTTCCAAGATGATAACTTTTTTGATAAGGTTTTGTGACAACAATGAAGCATGCAACTTTTCTATTGCATACTGCAAAGTACATACTGCTTGACAATAGTATTACACAGTAGGTAGCTGCTGATACTTTGTATGCATGGAAGAGCCTGTATATGATAATTATGTTTTGGCATCACAAACAGACACTGACATACTGATGTGCTTCATTTGCATTTTTACACACACACACACACACACACACACACACACACACACACACACACACACACACACACACACACACACACACACACACACACACACACACACACACACACACACACACACACACACACACACACACACACTGCTCAGCGGGTCCTTGACCTGAAACACCTCACCCGTCTCCTGTATCTGGTAGGGTTAAAGATCGTCCCTCGATGGCCACTTAGAGGAAGAATTAATGTCTAATCTTCTATTTTTCTGGACTTCGAGCACATGTTTGCTGATTAGGCATGTTGGGTTGCCAGGCACTGAATCATACATGTGCCATATGCTTAGAAAACTTGACTAATTTACTAGTTAAACGTGTCTGTGTGTGTTTGTCTGCATACACTGTAAAGTGCATTATTTGTTGTGTCTTTTTGTTATTCTGAATTTCTGTATTGATCACTTTCAGTAAGTGCTGGAAAACTGTGTGAATATTAATGATAAAATTAGGGCTGTCACAATTAAGAAATGTTTGACTGGCAATTAGTTGTCATATAAATAATAATAATTTGCCTGCATTATTCACGTCTCTTTGAAATATTATTACAATTTAAAATAAATGCTTCTATGTGAGTATATTTTAAAATGTAATTTATTCCTGTGATCAAAGCTGAATTTTCAGCATCATTACTACAGTCTTCAGTCAGTGTCACATGATCCTTCAGAAATCCTTCAGATCCACATAATAATGAATTCATGGAGCTTCCTGTAACAATGACAATGATCCGTGTATGAAATGGCGGGGTTTGCTCAACATCTCTCCTCATCTGTCCTCCACAGCTGCGTCCAGCTTCAGCTTCTGCCGGGCTGGGCTGGACCACACAGTCTCAGCAGAGGAGCTGAACTATCAGCTGCCACGCAGGGCCGGGGGCAACCTCACCTGGCATGAAGGACGCGGGCAGAGGGTGACGAGGAGGACCGTCAAACTGCTACAGCAGCCCGGCACAGAAGGAATACAGGTACACTACCACACTCCCCACAGGAGAGAAAGTCACTAATGACATCTCATTACCATCTTAAAGGGGTCATGACATGTTTTTATTTTATTTTTTTATTTTAATATGTTCTTTGAGGTTCATGCATAATGTTAGTAAAGCTTTTGTACAAAAGGCTTGTCAGTAAACGTCACTGTTATGATTGGCTTAGGATTGGCTATGATTGCATAGGAAATAGTATCAACGCCCTCTCATTTTTGCACGTGAGTAAGTGTTTGAAAACATTATCTATATAAAATCGTCATTTCCAGACAAAGCATTATGAAAACATTTATTTACGGTTTGTGATGTAACTGCTGTCAGATCCAATACCGCTGACTGCTTCAACTGTCAACAAAAGTTTTTTTGTGAACTCTCCATTAAACTGTGCCTCGTTTACAAAACAATCTGCAGTCAAATGCTCCGAACAAACATAAAATCCTCCGAAGTGATCCATGACGCCATTAAAATAAACCATCCACTTGGTTCCGCCAAACGAGGTGTTTAAACTGAAACGTTCTTTCACTCGTCCATTTGTCCTTTTGTCGATAGACTCAAGTGTGTGAAGTAAGTCAGAAACTGATTGTGCATCTGTATACTCTATCCAGTGTAGACAGCGTCAGTGATTATAATGGACTCTTTTGAAGTTACGCTCACATCCAGTGTAAGCAAATGTCAGCCGTTGAGTGACTGAATACAAGTGGGCGGAGCCTATGGTGCGATGATGTAAAACTATTCATCAATGTCTTGCTCTGGAGGTTGTCATATGCAAATGTATTTGCCAGTGTGCATCACAGATCCTGCACTATCAAAACGAGCTGTTTTTGGAGCTTGATTAAATAAATGCTTTGTTTATACAGTAACGAGGAGGATGTTTTTAGCTCTGAAACTAATAGGGTGTTTTAATGGTACAAAGACCTCTTATATGTCAGGGCAAATTTGATTTCTCCTGTCAAGACCCATTTAACGGTTTCCTTTGGAGTTTCAGAAGAGATATTTATAACTTCTTTATACTGTTAATGGTTGCCAACAGTTGTATTTGTTTTTTACTTTTACAAGGACAAAGCTCTGAAGGTCATGTAGACGTTTACTTGTTTACAGCACTGGCTTCATGATATTTCATGTTTTCAACTGGAGTGTGTAAACTTCTTCTCCGATCTATTTGTCAGTGTTAGCCCATCTTTTTCACACACACCAAACCGTCATAACAGGCTCATACTCCACCTGTCGTGATGAGGAAAAAGAGCCTCTGATGTCTGGATATTATAGCGTCTCATTATGAGAACCATTAGCCAACAATCAGGCTAAGCTTAATCTGAAGTGTCTCACAATACGCATGGTTTTTCTATTACCAGACACAAATGAGAGGCGTACTTGAAATTAATTAGTCCCTCTTTGTATGCATCAACCTTGAGGGCCATAATTTTTTCATAATAAAATATTTTCACCCTAATTTTAACTACCAGATTTGATTAGCAGGTTCGTTACGCTCTGTCTGTTATGTTGCGAATAATTGATTTGAATGGAGTGAATTGAAAAACGCCTCGGTTCCGACTGGAACCTCGGTTCCCTGAAGAAGGAACGAGACGTTGCGTCGAGATGACGCTGTGGGAACGTCTATACCAATGCCACCATAGTGGCCAGTGCCTGTCTTGTGTGAAATCAGGCGAGCACAGCAAAGACAGACTAACCTGGGATCCAGGAGTGAAGCCCAAAACTAAGTTGTAAACCAGTTGTAAACCAGAGTGTGTGCGGAAAGGAACAGCCCACCGCATCACACACCTCTCGTAGGGATACCCCTAAAACAAGGCTACAAAGCCGCCATACTCCTCCTGCTCCAACGGGAGGGAAGCATCCGTCGTAGGGAACTCCTAGCACAGGACCCTGGGACAAGAACCAAGGCTTCTTCCACCTAACTAGGGCACGTAAGTATCGCCGCATGACCCTGATAATGCGAAATGGGGAAAACCCTTTGGTCCTGAGGCACCACTGCAAGGGTCTCATGTACAACAGGCCAAAAGGTATCACGTTGGACGCTGCTGCCATCAGACCCAACAGTCTCTGAAACTGTTTCACAGTGAGTGACTGGCCTAGCTTTATTCTTTTCACAGCCGACAGGATGGACTCTATGCATGCCGGTGAGAAGTATGCCTTCATTGACATTGAGTCCCAGACCCGCCTAGAAAAGTGGTCCTCTGTAGTGGAGAAAGCACACTCTTTTTGGCGTTTAGCCGTAACCCCAACTCTTTCATGTGGGCGAGAATGACATCTCAATGCCGAACCGCCAACTGATGCGACTGAGCCAGAATCAAGCAATCGTCGATGTAGTTCATGATGCGAAAACCCTGCAGGCACAGAGGCGCCAGAGCTGCATCTATGCATTTCTTGAAATTGCGGGGTGATAGTGCTAGGCCGAATGGAAGAACTCGAGATTGGTATGCCTTTCCCCTGAAAGCAAACCTTAGGAACTTCCTGTGATATGGAAGGATGGATGTATGGAAGTATGCATCCTTGAGATCTATCGTGACAAACCATGATCTGATCTGTGGCATGATTTGTCTCAAGGTTAACATTTATAATTTTAGCTCTATGACTGGGACGCAACCCCCCATCCTTCTTTGGAACGATAAAATACCGATTGTAGAACCCAGTTTCCCTGTTGGAGGGAATGTTCTATGGCCCCTTTCTCTTGCAGGGTTTTCACTTCTTGTTCCATTACCAGAACCTGCTCGGGGCCCACCACGGTGGTTAGGACCCCCATAAACCTGGGTGGATGAGACCCGAACTGTATTTGATAACCCTTTTCTATGGTCTGCAGGACCCAACGAGAAACATTTGGCAGTAGCTTCCACGCTGCCAAAAATTCTATTAGAGGTACCAGCTTCTCGAGACTTGCTTCTGGTTTTTGTTGCGCAATCAGCCCGACGCATCCCAGTGCCGCTACGTTTCCGGGCGAACATGGAGATATGGGCTCGTCGGAGACTGCTGCGCCCCGAAACACATGAGGTGGCAGGGTTAGCATAACAGACCCCTGAGGGCACCGAAGAGCAGCGGGCACAATATAATGAGGTGTTAACCGCTTCACTTCGGGGCAGGCCCTCATTGACCTAACCCCTCTGGCGTCAGGACCTTATCCCCCCAGCCTTCTTGGAAATAATGACGGTCCTAAGATCCGTCTCACCCCTTAAAGGCTGCAGTTGAGAGCGCCGGCCCGACCACAGTCCTTTAGTGGGGGCTCAGGAGCAGATGCTCTGCTTCTGTTGAGATATGTTTGGCAGAAGTTCCCACGCTGCCAAAAAATCTTCTAAGAGAACCAGTCTCTCAAGACTGGTCTAGGTGTTACTCGAGCAACCAATTCGGTGCCCTGTACGGTGAACTGACAGGGAACAATTGAACTGACTGCTCTGAGACCCTCCTCAGAGGCGACGAGCATTCCAGTGCCGCTACGTTTCCGGGCGAACACGGAGATATGGGCTCGTCGGAGACCGTTGCGCCCCGACGCACATGAGGTGGCAGGCTTGGCAGAACGGCCCCACGAAGGCATCGAAGGGGAATGGGCACCGTATAGTGAGGTGTTAACCACTTCCCCCTGGAAATTAAGAGAGCCAGCCTCTCGACACTGGTCTCTGGTATTACTCAAGCAACCAGTTCGGTGCCCTGAAGTGGCGCACCGGCAGGGAACAGCTGACCTTATTGCTCTGAGACCCTCCTCGGAGGGGGTGAGAATCCCAGCGCTGCTACGTTTCCAGATGGACCCTGAGATAAGGGCTCGTCTGAGACTAGAACTCGCTGGAGACCATTGCGCCCGAAGGGCACCGGAGGGAGATGGGTACCATATAATGAGGTGTTATTCATTCCCCCCCAGTAATTTCACCATTTATTTCCTCCGAATTAAATGCAGCCAAAGATCAACCAGACAAGTAAACACGGATGAAAGGCTGAATAGTATATTAATACAGACATCTAACTGCTCAGAGATCAGATAAGTCCATATTTAATTTTCTCAAATTAAATCCAGCCAAATATCAACCAGACAAGTAGAAACGGTCTAGGTGAAAGGCTGAATATAGTGTATTAATACAGACATCAACTCAGATGTGTATTTAACATTTAATTTCATCACAATTAAATGCAGTCAGAAATCAATCAGATAGAGAACTTGGTCTGGATGAAAGGTTGAATATATTATTTTCATACATCTACTTTCAAAGCCAGACAAATATTTCATTTAATTTCTCAAAATGAAATTTATATTATAATCTCATACACAAAAAGAACCATAAATAATAGTCTGCAAACACATAATTAGTTTGCACACAATCATTGGATAAAGAGAGAAAGGGAAATTCCCATCTACTCAGTTCCCTGCGCATATATATATATATTAGGGGTGTAACGGTACATGTATTCGTATTGAACCGTTTCGGTACGAGGCTTCCGGTTCGGTACGGATACAAACCGAACGATTCCTAGGACCATTTTTCCTGCCGACAAAATCCGCGCTGGCGTGACCACCACAACGTTGCGCAACATCAAATGGCAAACGTAATGAAAGCGGAACGAAACTGCGCTACTCATTATATTGTGCTTCACGGACCGTTTATCAGTTCGGACCAGCAGCATCTGTGCAGCGCGAGCCGATCTTGATCAAGCGACACTGTTACTATGCGCTAAGAGATCCAGTGAAGAAAATATTTGAATTCGCCTCTGAAGTAATAAAATCGCAGCGAGATCTAGTGAAGCATTCAAATTTCTCCGTTATCAACCGTAGATCTCTATTAGAGCAAACAGCGCTGACGTGGAAAGCAGGAGAAACATTGTGCCGTGAATGATCTAGTTATAGGCTTTAAAGGAGCTGTATGTAAGAAATGTATTTCAATTAATCATAAAATGGCCCTGATGTGTCTCTAGGCATTAAGAAATCATGTTCATTTCAAATACTTATATCACTGACAACAGTAGTACGGCCACGATATTGTCATTTA